TAAAATAATTTGAGATATTTGACATAAATAAGAGATTTACATTATATTTCTAGAATGTTTAATTTTATTTAAATTATGAAATAAATATGACATCTAAGTCATTTTATAGGCAAAATATAGTCTTGAAAAACAGTAAGCTACTTTAAATTCAACCAACATCAATAATTCAGTTCTTATCTAATATTTTACCTTCCCACTTCCTTCAAGACCAAAACGTTCAAACTTTTGTCCTTATAATAATCTGGTTTTATTTTTTTGGCCTCCCTATACATGTGACAACTCCTTACCAATGCTTATACTCCATTTATTTAACAAAAATACTTTAAGAGTTCTGTTGAAGTGAAGAATTGTATTTCATTATTCTCTCAAAGATGGACTTCATTACAATATGATTCCTTGGGTCTTTGCCAAGCAACTGAGATATAAAATAGTATAACAAGAACCTTCTGGTTCTTTCAGTAACAAGCACCAATCGATAGGATTATGCTAAGTTTCATGCTATAGAAGGTCATATTTTATCAAGATTTCAGTGCATTTACAATGAACAATAGCCCACTATTAAATCCCTTTATTAACCTTTATAGTAGTTCTTTAGGTCTGGAAACTTTCCACCACAAAACTTTTAATGTAAATGTTGAAAATAATATATTAGAAAAGCAAGTAAGATTGTCCTGTAACTTCCAAAATATGTTGAAAGCATTTATTCTTAAAAAGAAAAAGCTTACTGTTGTATAAATATTTGTACATAATAATAGAAATAAAAATAGCTAGTTTTTATTCAGCACCATCTAACAGCTACTGGGTTCAGGACCTTACATATACCACCTCATATATTAAATTCATGATGGCCCTGTATTAAATAGATATTATTATATCTGTTTCATATATGAAGAAATAAATATAAAGAAAACAAAATTTTGCCAAAACTGAAATGTTTAAGTAATAGCTCAAAATCACAGTTAATAAGTATGATCAATGCTGGATATGAAATAGGGTCTGGAGGACTCCAGACCCACACTCTCAAAATATCCTTTTTCCAATAATCCAACCGAATGAGAATATGTATCTATGTAAAGTTTCTCACATGCTGTTAAATGCCAATAAAAGTAAAGCAATATACTATGCAATGTTTATATAACATACATTCTTATTTATCCACACATATAAGTGGGCATATGTAAATTATAGATACTTATATTATTCAACGATATGCTTACAGATTGATTTTAAACTGTGTGTCTATTTATAGATTTTTTTGGATACTCAAATTATACCAGATACCTGCTCATTCCATATAAATCCAAGTAACCCCACTGCTATAAAATAAACACCTCTATTCAAGTATTTACATAGGCAAACCCAAAATATACTGAAAAGTAATTATGTCATAATACATATATAAAGCAAATTATGTATATGTACATATACATATATACATGCATGTGTGTGTGTGTGTGTTCTATATGAACATAACTGATAAAATAAATAGATCAAACCTTACCATGCAGTTGAGTCTGGAGGAACTGGCATGTACTGTGAAAATATAAATTATTATTCCTTTAAAATACATATTATATAATAAATATGCTACATAGTTTTTTTTTAATTCCCAGCTGGAAAGCAGGCAAAGGTATAAATCTCTGCTTAAGTTCTTTAGTTTTTAAACATCCATTAAAGTCTAGCATTAGGATCACCTGGAACACCTGTTAAACTACAGACTGCAGGACCCTATCCTTTAAGTTTCTGTTTTAACAGGTCTGTATGGGATTTCATAAGCTGCATGTCCCACCCATTCCCAGGCAATACTGATGGTTTTGGTTCACAGACCACAGTCTGAGAAATACTCTTAAGTACCTCAAAGCTATACAATCATACCTTGACCTCTCCCCTACTCCCCTGTGCAGATCAAGCCTCAAAGTATCTACTACTCTGTGAGGACACGAGCAAGTGAGCAATATCACTATCAGCAAGTAGTTTAAGTAAGGTTGTTCCCAAGAATCCCATATTCTAACCACATGAAGAGCTTCTAAAAATACTGTTGCTTAGGCCCTACCCAATACTAATGAAACTGGAACCTCTGGGTGTGGAACTCAGGCACAAGTAATTCTAAAGCACCCGAGGTGACACCAGTGTGCAGGCAAGTCTGAGAATAACTGATTATGAGAAAAATCCAGCAATGCTTATGCCCAGTGGTGGTAAACAGCACCCTTCATTATTACAGATCTCAAGGACATAAGTTTTAGGTCAGTCACTAATACTGTGACTAATATTTACATCAAATATATAAAATGTTATAGTTATTTATAACTATAGAATGGATACCAAAGTGTTTTAACTTTTATAATACAAAAATATATTTTTAATATAATCATGATTTCTCTCTTAACCTCTTTCTATCTCTCCCTCTCTTTCAACTTACATGTTGCTTAAGTCTTCAAATATAGCCCAGAACTATGGATTATGTTCTGTAGGCCAGCAAGATACAATAGGTAAGCTGGAAAGTGGTGCATAATTGTTGAATACATAGAGTCTAGCATCTGATATTAGAAGTTCAAACTTTGGATTCAGACTTGTTAGCTACAGGCCCTTGAGTGTGACCTTGACATTGTAAGCTGTATGACCTTCAGTAAGATCTTCCAACTTTTAATCTGTAAAAATAGCCTAACAATAGTAACTGCTTCTTATGATTATTGTGGAAGTTAAACAGTGTCAGGAGGTAGTTAATATACAGGAAGGACTTAAATATAAGCTGTCTTATTATATTTCCTCTTTTCGAATTGGCACCTCATTTATTTTACTTTAAAAAACCTTTTCAACTGTTTTATCTAAAATTTATGACTAGACTATTCCTGATTATTGCATCTGTGCTGAGTTTTATTTTAATAATTACAGATAAGACTCATATAACATTCTTTAATAGAAATTAAATGAATATGGCAGTTAAAATGGGGATGATTTTCAGACTTCAGTCAGCCTCCAAAGGAAATTCAGTCATAGAGAGATAAAGTAGAAAGTTGACTAAAAAGTATCTAAGAAATCCTATTAAATTAAGTTCTCAATTTACTCCTGACCCTTATTAATAAACACCTTTTAACATATTAATTGTGTCTTATGTTTCTATGGGCTAAAAAATCACTAAATTCAAACATGCAGCTTTTGATGGACTCTTCATTCTAATTTTTTTCAAATTTATACTTACTTATATTTGCAGTTTCTAATTAAGTGATTAGGATATTTCTTATAAATAGGCATTTCTTATAAATCAAACATAGTATAATTATGTCACAATAAAAGATTGGTAATTGATTTCATTGGAGAACTTCCGTATCATTAAATATTTATTTACAAGACTTTTTACTATGTTTTATGCAACAAACATACTGTTTGCTCAGTTGAGAAGGTGTTTTTAAAATATTCAAGTATTATCTTAAATTATTTTAAAAATAACTTTTCCCATAGGAAAATAGTAATGATAATATTTTTTCTTTTTTTTTTGAAGTATAGTTGATACACAGTCTTATATTAGTGTCAAGTATATGACACAGTGGTCGACCAGTTACCCACATTATTAAATCCTCACCCCAACTAGTGCAGTTTCTACCTGTCAACATAGAAAGATATTACAGAATCATTGGCTAATAATATCTTTTATTTTTAATCAAGCAATTCAGAAAAATATTAAAGACATTATTGCTCCAACAGTATTTATCAGTTGTCTTTTTACAATAATGTTATATATTTGTTAGGATTTTATAAAATAAAATGAAAATTGACAGAGCACTAAAATGAATAACATCAGTATTCCATATATTTTGTTCAATTGCTACTATGGACAAGGTACTGTAAAAGCAGTGCAGAATTATAGTGAGATAACTTAAAAACAGAGGTTGGCAAACTTTTACTATAAAGGGCAAGACACTAAATATTTTAGGCTTTGTAGGCCCCCTAATAGTCCTTCATATTTCTTCTCTTTCTCCTTCAACAAACTTATAAATACAACCTTTCTTGGCTTAGAAGCTATACCAAAACAGGGTATGAGATGGTTTTGGCTCATGGCCTGTAGTTGGTTGACCTCTGACTTAAAAATGCTTTTAGAGTATATTAGCATTAATACCACTGTGGTTTTGAATCAAGATTTGAGAAATACCATGTGCAAATTTTCAAAGACATTTAGAAAACTTTCATGAAAGTGACCAAGAATTCAGAATGGTTACACACCTACATAATTAGTCCAGAATTGTGGAAAGCCAATGATTCAGTGACACTGAGTTATACACCACTACACTACTAGAATAAGCATAAAGAACATCTAAAATAGAGACAGCTGTACATGATTTACTTTAGTTTTAGTCATAAAATTCAATATCATGTGCCAAGAATCTGAATTATGAGGCAAGGAACAAAAATGCACAGACTTCTAGTAATGACGTGTCACCCACAGAAGAAAATAAATGCAAATATTACATATACTTGAATAAAGACAATATTCAGTAACATAGGGTGTAGTTATTTGTTCATGAATCCATATCCAAAAACCTATGCATAGTTTTATTTTTAAAAAGCATGCTGAACGACTCCCATTTTTACGTTGGAAACATTCCTCATGCCCTGAAAATATACATTATTAAAGTGTAAGTTTTCATTATTTGGGATTGAAAAAATTATACTATATTGCTACATATACACACATTGGTGCATACATACATAAACATAGTTTATGTAGTTGACATTATTTCATTCACAATGTGACTAGGCCAGTTAAGAATTGCTTAGCTATCGTTTTTTGGTGTGTTATATTTTCTTATTCTTTGGAAGACTTTCAAGAAAGCAATCATATGAAAGCAGAGAACCCATTCATATATTTTAAGAATCACTGGGCTTAAAATAGGATATTTTTTCCTAAAGACTGCCTTTACTTTTGCCTGCAAGCTATAGTAGTCATTATCAGTCTACTATCCCAGGGATGGAGGGTGAAAAAACCACTAGGAGAACCATTTCAAGACCAATTGACTTTATTGCCTACATACCAATTCTGCAGAATTGTTTGGGAAATGAAGCAGAAGAAAGCTGCTGAGAAGGCACAGTAGGAATCCATCTAGAAAAAAAATTAATATGAACTAAATCACATCATCTGGGCATATTACAGAATGCTCTGAAAGCATATGAAAGAGTGACTATGTCTTAATTGAAAAAAGAAAAAGAAAAAGCCAGGAGGTATACATTTGCAATTTATGACACTTTAGTTTATAGACAAATAATAAAAATGCATGTTATATTAAATTACATTATTACAAAGTATTTTGACATATACACAAATGTAAATGTATATTAAAATACTTACATACATAAAAATGGCTATTTCCTACCTCTGAAACATTTTCTAAGCATTTTAGCTCTGTTCTTCAGATTGTTTAACTGGCGAAATTCCCTAACTGCTGGTTAAAACATGACTAGTAACCACAGTTTAGTGTTCGGAACTCACTGAATCAGTGTTACACTGCAACTCCAGGTGGTAGTCACTGTGGATCAGTTAGAGAATTACTAAAAGAAGGGGAAAACAGTCTGAGAGAACTTCTGTGCCACCAAAATATTGTGCAATTAGGAGCTGTCCTTCTACAGAGACATTAACTAGAGCGGTTTTGAGGTACCAAAGCAGCATAGATGATGAAGGGGAAAAAAGCAGTTGTGCATTTAAGCCCTGCATATCTATTCCCTAACTTCCGCTATGCCAAGATCTGTCCCTACAGGTACTTACACAAAACATCTACCTAAATGTTAAAATAAACATTTTAAATGTTAACACGAATTGTGCTCCTTACTTGTTATTATCAAGTACACTTTACCCAACATACGCACTGAGAAACAGTCCATTTTCAGGCTCACAGAACCTCACCAATGGCCCTTGTCTGGTGAAGAAGCTACTTTGATCTCTTCCATTTACTTGTGCTTTCATTTATTAATTATTTGAACAAACACATACAAACCTGCCATTCTGTTTGCTACGATCTATGATGAAATATTTGAATATTTTCCTACCCTCAGGATTTGGGGAGAAAGACATGTGAAGTACAGGACAAGAATTGCTCTCATGGAAGTACACAAGAAAAACACTAAAGGCAAAAGGAATGTCCTGGTTAATTTTACCCAGACTACAAACTTCAGAAAGAATATGACATTTCAGAAAAATCTTTAAGATTAAAAGATATTTCCCAGGCATAGAGTAACGAAAGATTTCAGTAATAAAAGATTGAAGTTTAGAAGTACCACAGGATTCATATATTCACTAGTAAGAAATTTGTATTATATTTTTTTTAACCTGTTCTGCTTTTTCACTTTTCTAGTAATGAAATGGCAAAGCTTTTCCAGTAAATACAGTTAATATTAGGAAAGAGCACAGACATTTAAACATTAAAAAACTGTCTTTAAATTTCACTTGCCAGAGAACCACAATAAAGACACTGAATTGTACATTCTAATTCCAATATGCTGGAACAAAATTTATTTTGATAAGGTATTTACATGAAGTTAGTCTAAAAAATTTATTCCTCCAACATTGAAATCTACCAAAATTCAGAGGTTGCTTGCATAATGTATTTGCACACTAAAATATTTCTATCAATATTACATGAATTTTTTCATGGGAGAATGGGAAAATAATTTCTCTACTTTAAAGTGACTTATAAATTAATTATATGAAAAAAAGTTATCCTGCTGTCAAGGTTAAAAACCTTCTTAACCTACAAAAAGTGACAATTGTTGGTGACAAATTAGGTATCTGATTTTTAAAAAGCTACATTTTCTGGTGTAAGCTTTTTGTCCCTGTTTTTCTCCACTCAGATGGAGGGGCTGGCTGAAACATATTCAGCTGGCAGTAGAGGGGGAAGTAAGCCCTGACTCATGTTTTATATGTAACTATCGTATTGAAAAAAAATAAAGAATTTACATTATGGTAATGGACTTCTCACTCACATTTTTACTTGCAGAAAAAACATGGAAGACCAGGTCTTAATGTTTATGTATTATTCCACATAGCACATAATCACCAATGAAAGGCATGCTGTAAGTATGACCTTTCTTGAACTAACTCCCAATAATACACTCTCAAATTTTGCTTTATTTAAAACAGAACAAATTTGTTCTGTTCAATATTGCCATCTCAGACTTACTAAAATGGCAGGCTTCCAGAAACCTTCTATTGTATTTATCTTTAGTCTATGAAGAAATACAGGGATGACAGTGATAAATTAGGGTAGCAGTTGAAAATGAGACATGTTTCAAGAATTGTGTCAGATGCAAATGCTGATATTGGCTTTATCTTTAAATTTTCTCTTTTTACTAAGCTTAACAGCCAGGGCCTGCTTATATGCATGACATCAAAATATCTGTCTCTTCTATAAAAACTATTTCCTAGAATCTTTCCAAAAATGCAACAGATTCATCATTTAGAAACAAATGTGTTTTTATGTTTCATAGGGAACAAATTAACACAACTGTATGTTATATTAAGCATTAATACTTCATTTATTATAGAGATTTATTTTTCAGATTAATAAGCATATTAAATATTATGCTTTTAAATGTACAAACTATGATACGAAGATATGTCTCCCTTTGTGTTTCAATAGAATCTCTGTTTTTATAAGCTGATTTAAAAATTAATAGTATCTGGTATCAAAATACTATGACTTTATTTTTGAGTCAGTTCCTATCAAATTGCTCATTTTTTTCATATTGAAGAACTGCTATATGCAAATGGAAACAATATGTTTGAAAGGAAGTGACCCACTTCATTGTCTCCTGCAAGCCTCCATGTGTTTTTCAGAATGTGGACACTGATGTGATTAACTACTTTTTATATTAATTCCCAGATTCATTTCCTCTTATATTTTTCTGCTGAAGTGTCATTCTGTGATTTTGTAGGAAGCATGCAATAACTTTTTTCACTTAGAGATAAAAAATATTAAGCTACGAAAAAAATGACACATTTTCAGTGGTGCATCACAAAGTCAACACCTTATGAAACACATCTGGAATTTTGGTTTTCTCTTCCAAACCATAAATTACTACTTCATGAAACTTATTTAAAATAGCTATTGTAAATATAATGCTTTCTCTAAACCCCTCAAACTCAATAATTACTTTTCAAACTTAACAATATAAAATGAGATCATTTAAATTATTAAGTATCTCACTGATTCATGAAAAGTTAGGTTTCATATCTGTAAACAAGTAAACAAAAATCAATTAGGTCAAAATTGACTGAAAACACTCTGGAATATTTGGTAAGTAATTATCAGTGAAAAATCTTAGGATAAGAGCCTTTTGAAATTATTGTGAATACTTTTCTATGTAAAATTATACCATCATCAGACTTTGTTTTAAATTTCCCTGTCCTACCTTTTCTGTATCTTTCAATATAGAGGCACCAGTAGGAAAGTGCTGATCTGTGTCTCCTCCAAATAAAGTATTTGCTCCAGCAGAATCCTTAGAGACTATTTTAACCAAATGCTCCTCACACTATAGTCATTTTAAATGTTACCTTAATTGTGTAATTAAAAATTGCCATCTTTTATTACCAGAATAAAAAGTGCATCCTGGAAATATTTGCTTTTCAGCAAAAATTTATAGTTATTGCCGTAATAAACCTGTATAACAAACCACCTGCAAAACTCAGTGATTTATCAATCATTTATTCTCCCTAGTCTGAGAATCTATTGGCTGGGGTTTGCCTGGCCCTCAATAGGGAATCTCTGTTCCAGGGTATAGTAATGAGGCAGCTCTTCTCACTGCACATGCGAGTTTGTTCTGCTCCACGTACCTCTCATCCTCTTCCTCATACCGGCCAGCTAACCCAGGGCATGTGCTCCTCAATTGCAGAAGTGCAAGAGAGAGCATGGCCTACTCAGAAGTGCCTTTAAAGTTCCTATCTACATCATGATTACTCATATCCTATTGGTTAAAACAAGACACATGGTTGAGCCTAGAGATAACAGGCAGAATAAGAGGATTGGGAAGTTATTTGACACAAAGCATGGATACATCATGAAAATCGGGTCAATAATCTACTAGCACAGTATTGTCTCAACCTATATATTTAAATTCAGCTATAATTCTGAAGATACTTCTTGATCATAAAGATAGACATTATGATTATGAACAGACTTATCGAAACATCCAGGTGCTCTGTATTTAAAAACTCCCTTAAATTTTTAAGTAAAGCCATTGTAAAAGATGAAAGATTTGAGCATTTTCATATTCTAAAATATTACAAAAAGAATAAATATGTATATCCTACTTTAATCATCTTTTATATATAGCTTTCCAGAAGCTGTATGTGAGTCTTAGAAAATCACTACCTCTATAAAAATTAAACATTTATAAATTGACTGGGTAAAAATTCTAATTTATGTTTTTTACCCCACCCTCTATTAAAATAAGACTAACTCATATTTCCTTTTTCCCTTCTCAGTTTTTGAAATGGTAATGTGTTGCTTGCAATTCCTTTTTTCCTAGCTTTAGTGACCCATAATTCTAGCTAAACCAGTGGTCCTGATAACCTGTTACATATTAGAATCACCCGTGGAGCTTTAAAAACCAAAGCAAACAAACAAACATGAAACATGAATGGACGGAGCACAACCCTAGGAATTCTGGCTGAATCGGGTAAGGTGGGACTTGAGCATCACCCTTTTATTTTTCATCTCCTAGCTGATTCTAATGAACGACAGGATTGAGAACTGATTTAAATATAAATCCAATGTATATAACTGTAGATCTTTTGGTTATAAATATACAATGACATCAACAGTGTTGCCAAATTAAAGGAGAAAGGGAATGTAGTATCATATGAATCTAAATAGTCCAGGGATGACTTTGAGTTCGACTTAACCAAGGGCTCAAATGATGAGCCCAAACTCCACCTCTCTGATCTCCTCGCTCTGTGTGGTTACCACTCTCAGTATAACCTCCTGATTACAAAATTACTACAACCTACTTCTGTAATTGGGCTACACCCCTCTTCATCCATATTTAATAGAAAGAGGACATCTTTTCCTCCAGTTATTGAAGAAAATACTGTACTTCGTTTAAAGCATA